AAGAGCAAGTGCTCAGAGCTCAGTATCAACTGGTACCTAGGGTGTTGTAGATGCCAAGAGGATATCCTAAACCATTACACACACACACACACACACACACACACACACAAAGTAAAAAGTAAAAATCTTCAAATATTTACAGACTGCCATTTAAATTTGTTCTATGATCAAAACATAACACAGGATGAACTAGACTAAGAGGATGGGCTCTATGCCACAAGCAATAGCCCCAAGCCTCAGTATTAAGCGATCAAAATGGGGAACAGAGCATTTTGTTCCTGGGCAGAGGAACAAGCATCTATCTGCCAACATAGTTAATAAGCATCATATAAGAAATGTATAGTCTTAGAGGAAGAAGCTCCCCAACACAGAACCTCTGTTTTCATTTGTCAGCAATGGAATTCCAACTAATTTATCAACAACGTCTCAGAAGATCACCTCCAGTCGCCAAAGTTCCCCATTTTCAAACTTCATCACGACTCTCTCCCTCCCTCAGTGGAAACCCTAGATTTTCAGAGCAACTTCCCAATGCCACCCATAATCTCTAAAGTCTACCATTTCTACCTGTATTCCTTCTGTTCCTAGAGGCAAGTCAGTTACAGTCTCTTATACCAATCCAGACAAAACCCTCATCAAGTTAATTACTTACCTAACCATTGATCTGAGTTCCAAGACCTTCACCCAGAGCCTCCCGGTCTCCTGATAAGAATGTGCCTGTGTGCAGCCTTCATTTTACCCTGCCCGTTCTGCTTATCAGGGCATCTGGGTAACAGCATGGAAATAAATCAGTGACTCCAAGATGTGGTCTCTTTCATGCATGAAGGCTGTACCTGCATGAAGGCTGCTCAGAGGGGCTGACACTGCCTAGCAGAACAATAAGGGCAGTTGGTTTAAATTGCACAATACCTAATCGGACTATTGCAAAAACCTGAGCTCTTCCCTTTCCTACTCATCCAGCCAGGTTTATCTTCTTCAAACACTCTTATTGGGTAACTTCTCTGCGCAAAACTTCAAGGGGCTTCCCCTGCCCTGGCTGCCAAAATCAGCCTGCCTGATCTATCCAGCATGTTCCCAGCCCTAATCAGGTAGGTCTCTTTACAACCTAGACCTGCTCACCTCCAACCTCTGTCCCTGGACTCCTACTGCTCCAGACAAATACCTCTCCTTTTTCTTCCTCTGTATTTTGCGGTTCTCAACCTTGGCTGTACTTTGCAGTCACATGGGGAGCTTTTAAAAAATACCCATGAAGGGAAGGGAATTGTAGGGAAACATTGGGAGATTTTTAAAAATACGCATGAAGGGAAGGGAATTGGAGGGAAAGGTAATAAAAGGGCAGAGAAAGGTGGTACCCTCCAAGATTCTGATTTAACAGGTCTGGTATGGGACCCAGCCATCAGAATGTTTTTAAAACCTCCCAGGTGATACAGTCACAGTTGAGAACCAGTGTCCTGGCCTCATTCCCCAAGGTTCAGCTCAAGTCCCATTTCCAGCCTTTGCCAGTCTCTCTGAATTCCTACAACACTGATAATCTCTATCACACCACTTTCTGCCACATACAGATTCTCCCCAAATGCATTCCTCTTCCATGTATCTCTAGTTATACATAGACTACATACCAGGAAGCACTTAAATGAAGAGAAGCTGAGATCAAGGCTAGAAGAATCAAATATTAGAACTGGCAGGATCTTCAGAGAGCATCTAGACTAGTGGCTCTTGGACTTTTGGGGGCCATAGGTTCCTTCAGAAAATCTGATAAAAGTTATGAACTTTCTCTCCAGAAATACACATACACACAGAATTCTGCATAAAATTTCAGGGAGTTCAGAGGCCCCTTGAATGATTCCCTATGCAAATGCTCCTTATGGGACCATGAACCATAAACTAGTCTTTTCCTAACATGTAGATGAGACATAGGGGCTGGAGGGGCAAATGACTTGCCTTTGGTCAAAAGTAGTGGCAGAGCTGGATCCAGACCCTAATCTCTTGATCATTCCATTAAATTCCCTTGGCTGGCATTTCCATTGACTGCTTCAAACCCAGCAGCTGAAATCCGATCATCTCTTGGGCAAAAGCGAACAACTGAAGAAGCTGTGCTTTATACAAAAGCATGTTATTCATGCTATCAAGTCCCTGAGGTCACACTATTTAAACCCTTATTCACTGACAGTTCAATAGACATAACACCTAATTTTTAACCACTTCTTACCCTCACAGTTTCTGGAAAAAAATAGATCCTCACCCAAAACTCACCCGCTTCTCCTGCAGAGCTGGGCTGTCATCCCCAAGGGCCAAGCGGGAAGCATGGGTCCGGAACTCTGCCAGGCCCAGGATGGGCAGGTACTCGTGGTTTACGCTGCTATCATTAGCAATCCTCTGCTCCACCTTCCTCACGACTGGCAAAACCCAGGGCTGGCTATCATCCGTGCGATAAGCTGGGACACGGGAAAGAGACATACAACGGAGGAGTCTTAGGCTTCGTCCAAGGAAGAATTCGGAGCTGTGAACAGGGAGAGTTCTACCACCTTCCAATCAAAAGAGAACTGTGAGGGAAATTAAAGTTCATTCACTTACTGATTGCCTGCTTTGGGCCAGGCACCGGGCTAGGTGCTGGGAAGGCAGAAGGACAGTTTCCTATCCTTATGGAAATTACAGTTCTTAAATATGTGACCTCCAAAAAGTAGAATGCTGAAATAAAACTGGGACATCAAAGAGCCTGATCGAGTGAGAGAGTGCACGCAAAAATACCTTACAAATGCTATGTCAATATCACTAGGGCACTGAGGTCTCTACGACCACTGGCCCAGTAACCGCCTTCCTTCTGCATCTCCCCAAGACAAGGGTTCGGTGCTACTCCACATGAACGCTGCACCTTCAAACATAAACATGGAGGGAGAGGAGGGTGGAGGGTGGCCCACCTCCTCCTCTTGTCCTGTAAGAAACAAATGGTGAGGAAACACCTGTGACTGAAGATTCCAACAACTGGTTACACAATCATCGAACAACAAGTTTAAACACATCTTTATCCTCTCACTGTTTTTGACATCAGCCAGTGTTTACCATTTTGACTGTTCCTACCACTCACTTCCTCTGCTTCACACTTTTATGGATCTAAGTTTACCTGTTTCATAATTTTTAATCTTGATTACAGCAAATTTCTAAGCATTTCTTCTATGCTAAAAGTATTTTTAGTCTACTTTGAGTTATCCTATCACTGATTTTTTTTTCCTATACTACCCTATAATCATTTTGAGATTATAGGTTGAGAGGGCAGCTGCTTTGGCTTGCATCCAAGCCAATGACTTCTCTGAGCAGGATTCCTGACAGGGATTTGCTTCTGCTGGACTGTTTAGGTCTCCAATAAGCCTATACTTTGGCAAGTGACAGTGAAACAAATTTTTTAAGTAATTCTTCTTTATCTTGTTGATTTCTGCTCAACATTAATCCCTGACTTTTTTAAAAAATCACTTTTTTAGGGTGGTTGATATTGTTTACTGAACAACACATGTTGACTATAGAAAATTTAGAAAAGCCCAGAAAGAAAATAATAAACATTATGATTAACATGTAATTCCAGCACTCAGAGATAAGGAGTATGAAAATTTTGGTGTACAGCCTTTTAAACTTTATTTTACATGAGCATATTCTTTTATCAATTGTGTCATTTTTTATATAGAATTTTCAACATGCTTTTTTCCACTTATTAAATATATATTAGGAATATCTTTCATCATCATTAACTATTTAAGTCTGTGCACACAGACTGTCTTTGTTCTTTTTAGAGCTGCATAAACTGATAAATGTACTATAATTTGTTTTGTGAGTCTCCTGTTGATGGATATTTGAGTTGTTTCTAATCTTTGGCTATTAGAAAATAATACTTCAGTGAACCTTGTACATATGTCATCTTACATGTATGTAAATATAGCTGTAAGAGGCAGGGTTGAAAATGGAAGAGTAGGTTGAGAAGTACGTGTATATGTAATTTTGTTGTTGTTTTTGAGGGTATACATTAGTTTACTACTTTCAACTGATTTTCATTTTACAACACATGGTTGTAGGACAAATATGGTTAAAACAACTGATTGGAAGAATACTGGTGGCAATCAATGAAAAGTTTAAATGCAAATACATTACTTTTAAGCATACTTTGTGTACTTGTAGTTTTGACAGATATATCCACATTGGCTTTTTTTATAGGGCTGTTATCAGTGTACATTGCTGCCATAGGGCAGGGGTGTTATCAGTGTACATCTGTGCCATAGGGCAGGGGTGTTATCAGTGTACATCACTGCCATCAATGTACAAGAGTGTCTGCTTCCCCACAGCCACAGCCACTGAGTGAATTTTTGCCAATTTAAGAGTCCAAATGCTATCTCAGGTTAGTTTAAATTTGCATTTCTCTTATCGTGGATGCAACTGGGCATTTTTCATATATATGAGCCATTTACAACACAATTTTAGTGGCTAGACAATATTCCTTTCTATGTATAATTTATTAACTATTTGTGTTGCTTTTGACTATTTGCTAATATAAACATTGTAATTAATGTTCTTATACTTTATACATATTCATGAGTGCTTCCTTAGGAAAACTTTTTCTAGATGTAAAATTACTAGATCAAAAGTCAGACAACAAATAAGACCTTATAAGATATTTTGATTTTGCATCTGTCTTCTACTCCATCAACTAACCCTACCTTCCAGGAATGTTGTCATCTGCAAATTTGAAAAGCACATCAAGCTATTAATAAAAATGTGGACAGAGTTCCAGACTGACACAGCCACTAACCAACAACCAGTCTCTGGGTAGGTGAATCTGACTCACAATACTGTCATATCACTCACATTAGACCCCCTGGCCCACCGAATTCCCTCCCTCTCAACAAGTTCAAAAAGCCTACTTTATCAGTTGAGATTTGGTCTGGTTTTTCAAAGAGATACCAAAATAATGACTCCCAAGTAATCGTTTTCCCTGAAGTAGATCACCCCATCTATGATCACAATGCTACCATTGTTCAAAATATTCTTGGAATTCTTCTCTTGGAATTGTTTTTAGAGGAGACATCTCATTATTGTGAATATCCTTAATGATGCCAAATCTTTGTCCTTTGAAAGTAAATTTAATTTTTGAAAATGGTACTTGTATTATGTCCAGCAAAGTAGGTGGGTGAATGGACTGAGTAATATTAATGGAGAACAGCTATAAAAAGATGGCCTCCTACCTGGGTCTAACATGCTTTGAAGGCCATTCCAAAAGAGGGTTTTCGGAAAATTTTGAGCAATAGCAGTATATATGGACTACACTACACAGAGGAGATACTGTTTAGATGTACAAGAATATGGGTGTTTGTAGAAAAACTAGTTCTATTATGCTTCCCATCTGTGTTTGGATGGTTAATATATAATTATGCTACATATGTTTATGATATGTCATTTGTAAATCATGTATTATAAATAAATAAAATATGAAAGATAAAGCCATAGTACCATTGTTCTTACCAGTAATGTATATTCTGTGCAACTCTAAAAAATCCTGTGATAGGACTGGAGGCAGGGAGGCATTGTGTCCATATTGTGACAAAAGAGAAAATGGCCAATTCACACCTCTGCTTCCTTCTTCACTGCCCAGTTTCCCCCAGATTCAATTCTAGATTTATTCCCAATGCCTTGTCTCACTGCCCTACTGAAGGAGAACTGCAGTTACTCTTGGGCGTTTGGAGCAATGAGGTTAAGCATTACCAACAACCACTATTCCTGCTCTCCCAGAGGGGTTTTATTCTTGTTTTGTTGGACCCATGAATTTCTCATTCATTCTTTCATTATCTCACTCATTTGATGGCTACTTATTGAATCCACCATGAACCAGGTACTGGCTAAAAGTAGCGATACAGAGATGGGTAAGATAAAACAAGATACTGTCTTGGCCTCCCTCCAGGAAACATAGAGCATAGAGTCCTTAGTTCTCCTGTAAGTGAGCAGGGAAGATGACGTATAAAAGATGAATAAGAGTTTAAAAGACAGGAAAAAGGACTTTCCAGACAGAGGGAACACTTGTGCAAGGCCCCAGAGGCTTGGAGAGATGAGGTTTTTGAGGATCTGCATTTTCATGGCTCGGATGTAAGATCCATGGAGAAACAGCAAGGAATGGCTCACGGAGTCTTGGGGTCTCTTCTAAGGAACTTTGTCTCAATGGAGAAACCATTGAAAGCATTTAAGCAAGAGAGTGACATGGACAGCTGTACATTTTAACAGAATCATTTGAATGACATGATAGAAAATAAACTGGAAGGAGGACAGAAGCAGACAGTGAAGTCAGGAGGTTGCTGCAATAATCCACAAAGGAAATAGTGAAGTCTTGAATCACAGCAGCGGCAGCAGCAGCGGGGATAAACAAAAGGGAAGTCATTCAAAATAAATTTATGAGGTAAAAAAGACAGAACCTAGTGACCAAATAAATATACATGGGACTGATGAAAGGGTCACCGACAACCTCCAAAGTCTCTCTCTAGTCTCGATAAAGACTAGTGGGGGTGGGGCAGGGGAGAGGGCAACCAAGATATAGAGCAAAGCAGAAGAAAAAAAGAAAAGATTGAGGGGAGGGTGGAATCCATGCATTGTTTTAAACACGTTGAATTTGAAGTGGTTGTACAACGTGTCCAGCAAACTGTAGTGAATATGGGTCTGGCATCCAGGGAAGAAGTCCAGGATGGAAAGAAAGATTTCGTAATTATAGACATGGACGGTGGCTGAAGCCATGGTAATAACAAGGAGTTACTGAATACTTCCTACATACGGGCACTGTGCTAAATACTTCACATTTTTTTTACTTTCATTTAATTCCTATAACAACTCATAAAATAGATATTATGATCTCTATTTTCGGGATCTGCAAACTGAGGCCAGAAAAGTTCGCCCAAGATCACAAGAACTGTAAGAGTTAGGCTGTCATACTATTAAGTTCATGGATCCCTGTGCTTTTTCTAAAGAGCAAGAGATGTCTAGGGAAAG